AACAGCATGGGGGACAGTATTGAGCCCTGAAGAACCCCATGACATAAATGCTGTCATGGGTGAGATTATGTGGGTTTAAAGCATGTATGAAGATGGTTTGTGTAGTTGTGAAGAAATGTAAAATGGATCCATATTGGTTCTGTGTAAGAATGATTTTGTATGATCGGAATGTTGTTCTAGAGAGCTGTGGGAATGTTTTCCTTTAGACCAGTACAAGCCAATACAAGATAAGAAGACCAGGCACTTGTTATGGTGGAGAAGAGAATGGACGGAGGCAAACAACACCTGTTTCTCACGAGAAGAGAAGGAGGGGACTACTTCTACCACCTTACACCGTGATTGGATGATAGCGTGGGAGACGAAGAAGATAGGAATAGTCTAGAAGGTAGAAAAATGAACTTTTGCCATGTGCAGTGTTCCATCTTGTTCCTATTTTTTCCTTTGTTGGAACCAGAGATTTTTCTAGGTCTTTTTTCCTACTACCCTGTGCCAGGGAAAGAACTTAGGAGATGTAGAGAGTTGAAGAAAGAGGAGGAGGGAGGCTTTATGCCTTTTACCTACCCTAAAGAAGTTTTAGAGCTTTATAATCAAAAGGGAATTAGTTGCCTTAATTGTAATTGTAACAAGCCTTGGAAATGTATTATTGCTATGCTTTTGCATCAAACTGACTTTATTCTGTAAATCTGTATTTTTTCAATAAAAAGGATCAATTATAAAATCTTTTGGTCTCTTCAACAGCAGCCATTCCCAGAGGGAGAGTCAAGACCACACTACACTACTGAGTCCTACTTAATTGAGCTTAGTAGATTTTAGGACTACAAAGCTTATGTGCAACTTCTTGCTGAACTTAATTAAGCGTAAGCAAGTATCATTTTAGGGGAGACTTGTAAGAAGGGGTTTGTTGTACCCCCTGGCTGAGGTCACCAGGACTCTACCCAGCTGTTTAGGGGTACTCAGGCTCCCAATTACTGTCTGCCCGCAAACTAAGTTCTCCTTAACAGGAAGCTGGGTCGTAACAAACGCCATGGGTGAGGGCAACTGTCCCCCAGCACCACCTTCTGGACATGGTCAGCCAGGAAGGAGCAGAACCACCGTAAAGCGGTGCCCCCGACTCCCTACCCAGCCAGAAGGACACCATGGTCAATGGTGTCAAAAGCTGCTGAGAGATCCAGGAGTATCAACAGGGTCACACTTCCCTTGTCTCTCTCCCGGCAAAGGTCATCATACAGGGTGACCAAGGCAGTCTCCGTACCAAACCCCGGCCTGAAACCCGATTGAAATGGTTCCAGAAAATCTGTTTCGTCCAGCAGCGCCTGGAGTTGCCTGGCCACAACCTGCTCCAACACCTTCCCCAAATAAGGGAGGTTTGCCACTGGTTGGTAGTTAACCACCAGTCCTGGGTCCAGGTTAGGCTTTTTAAGGAGTGGCCAAATCACTGCCTCTTTCAAGGTGGTAGGGACCACTGCCTCTCTCAAAGAGGTGTTCATGGCCTCCTGGACCCAGATCTTCCAATTAGATTGGCAAGGGTCAAGCAGGGTGGTGGTAGGACGGACAGATCCAAGCACCCTGTCCACATCCTCAGGTCTCAACAACTGAAACTCATCCATTAATACTTGATCTAAGTATGACACACTGGATACATCCTCTGATTCTGCACTAATGGTGGAAACCAACCCACTGTGGATCTGAGCAATTTCCCCCTCAAAGTGAATGGCAAACTCATCACAGCTAGCTGATGAGTGGTCCGACACCTCTACCGGATTTCCCGCCAGGTTAGGCTTTTTAAGGAGTGGCCAAATCACCGCTTCTTTCAAGGTGGTAGGGACCACTCCCTCTCTCAAAGACGTGTTCATGGCCTCCTGGACCCAGATCTTCCAATTAGATTGGCAAGGGTCAAGCAGGGTGGTGGTAGGACAGACAGATCCAAGCACCCTGTCCACATCCTAAGGTCTCAACAATTGAAACTCATCCATTAATACTTGATCTAAGTATGGCACACTGCATAGATCCTCTGATTCTGCACTAATGGTGGAATCCAACCCATTGTGAATCTGAGCAATTTCCCCCTCAAAGTGAATGGCAAACTCACCACAGCTAGCTGATGAGTGGTCCGGGACCTCTACCGGAAATATCCCGCTTGAAGAAGATCCTGGACCACCCGAAACAGTTCTGCTGGATGACATTCTGAGGAAGCATATACGGATGGCGAAATATTTCTGTTTCGCCAGCCATATTGCCATGAAATAGGTCCGATAATGGGCTCTAAGTCATGTTCGATCTGACTCCCAGTTGGATTTCCTCCACCTGCGCTCCAGCCATCTCCCCTCTCGCTTCATTGCCTGCAGTTCAGAAGTATACCAAGGAGCTGTCTGGGCTCTGAGTGCAGGAAGAGGGTGCTTAGACTCAATTGTGTCAACTGCCTGGATCATCTCCCCATTCCATTCCTAAACTTTGACACGTGTGCCAACCACAACAGATGGATAATCCCCCAGAGCATTCAGGAAACCATCTTTATCCATTAGTCTCTGAGGCAGGATCATCTTAATACATCTCCCACCCTTGCAGAGGAGAGAAGAAGCTAATAGACTAAACTTGACCAGGAAGTGGTCTGACCATGACAATGGGGTCACAACCAGCCCCTCCACATCTAAACCACCATCTTCCAGTCCTGTTGAGAAAACCAGGTCCAAAGTAGGCCCTTCTCATGCATCGGGCCAATGACACATTGAGACAGTGCCACGGCTGTCATGGCAGCCATGAAGTCCTGAGCCGCCCAACACACAATACAGGCCCTCAAGACCTCCTCTCAAAGGGATAGGAAGCCTGGTCAAGGAGATTGAACTCCTATAGATTATAGCAACGCCCCCTCCCCAACCCTCCGAGCAACATT